CGGACAGTGGCTTAGTGGAAAGAATAACCAAGAAGGTAGTGATTAAGGGTTGAGCTTCCAAATCGGGCAGACTCACCTCATGAGGTTGGGGTGGCAATTAAACAAAATAATGGATGACTATCCTTAAATCCAATGCCAGATACATACGTGTATAATAACACAGTAAATGACAGCTAATAAGAATATTATCCTCAGGGCCCGGTAGTGTCATAATAGATGCTCAGTAATTTTTAGTGGCATTGGTATCAAACAGTAATTGGAGTTCTACTGCCTGCCGCTCAAAAGGCAAACTCCAGAAGCAAATTTATGAAAAGGGCAAGGGGTCACTTACTCAAAAGTGACGTATTTTGGAAGAATGACCAGCTTCTACCCCAGAGCTTCATTCCTTCTAAAACACCCAAAGACCAATAACCTTACTACCCTTTGCTGGATTAGTTCAAAGTTGTGCCTAGAATTCCTTCTCCCATTTAAAATATTGTTATTTGGGAAAAACGGGATTCTGCAGCACAACCATCCAAACGGTTTAGCTGGTTCCTGGTTGCAATCTGTATTCAGGTGTCTTTCTGGAGTCTGCGCACTGGCGGGAGTCCTACTGCTTTCACGATACCCTTTCTTCTCCTCCTGCCTGCCAGCCCAGCACCTGTGCCACATCCCTCTGGCTGTTGGCTGGCCACTGAGTCTGTGTGCCATGCGGAGCAGGACTTGCCAGAGCACCGCACTGTGCCAGTTGCCCGCCACCGCCTTTGCGTCTTGCTCTGGGAGTGGCCTAGGGTCACTGCCAGACCACATGAACTCCAGGGCCCACCAGCCCAGAACCCTCAGGTCCCTGACCCTGCTAACGAGGGGAACCAGAAGGGGACCAAGTTTCTACCCGCCCTCCTTCTAAATATCCAGAACCAAAATCCTATGCGCTCTGGAAGCGTCCCTCTTTTTTATTCTATCCTAGCCTGACGGGCAGGTGTGCCTCTCTCCTTGTCGCAATGGTCCAGAAGTGGGTAGGAGAGTTTCTAGGTCTGCACAGCATCTCTGGCCAGGATGGGACGTCACTCGCTGCTGCTGGGCCATGCATCCTCGAGGCACTGGTCTGTTTACCCCTACCTGCGGGTATGGAAATCTATCACAGCCAGGCTGTGATTTCAACCTCACTGCCTTGGGCACTTCCCGAACCCATTCCTTCTCAGGGGCCTGGGAAGGCTCTCAGCACCACCTCAGGGGGCCCTACCGGCTCCCCAGGGATCTCACCAGGTCCCCCTCCCGTAACAGGGTGACATGAATATATAAACATGGTCTGCAGATGTGTAAGTTATGGAGAAGTGACTCTGAAGTGTTGCTTACCTATTAGTGGATCTGACCTTTACCAGTGTTCTCTTGAGGGCATCAAGCCAGCACTGGTGTCCAGCCTTTTGTATTCTTCATATAGCTTTAAATAAAATAAAATGATGCTTATTTTTAAAGTTGTTCAGATGTTACTGGTTTAGGAAAACACTTTGCTCATAAATGCAGTTGTCAGGGAATTGTCAAACTAATTTGTGCAGGAGCTCACCTGGTTAGAGATACCACTTACTCAGCGCGGATTTTGTGCCTGGCACTGCACTAAGGGCTCTACATAAATTATTGTATTTAGTGTCCAGAGCATCATTATGAGACAGCTATGTTGGCCTCGCTTTGGAGAGTTGAATAACTTGGTCTTTGTTCCCCGGAAGTAACAGTGTGACAATTAAAACCCAAACCCCAAAGCTATGGTCTTAATAATTATTGTTGTTCACTTCTTTTAGAGGAGACTTCTTTTTTCCTATTTAAAAAAATGGAATATTGTGGTGGGGTGAAAATGGAGACAACTGTACTTGAACAACCATAAAAAAATAAAACCTATTTTATCTGTATAAATTGAAAAAAATGAAATATTGGCCTTTGGAGCAAGACCATTAACTTTGGCACCATGACAGAGGAGATATTTTTTCTAAGCTATTTAATTCACCATTGGGATGGACCTGACATTTAGAAGACTTCAGCCCAGAAAATCAGATTTCTGATATTCGTACATGGAGAGGATTAAAAACACTGGGTAAATACTGGGGCTGACAGCCGTGTGTTGCTATTTGCTAAGCTACATTAACTTAATGGACACTAAGAAGAAGAATGTGTTCAGTGGCGTTAAGAGATTCTCTTCACTTACACAAGTACAATACTATCAATTCCTTGTTTCTAGAAAAACCTCGATATTGTTCTTGTACCTCTAACAAATCATCTAACAAATTCTGGGAGCTCCAACTTCTCTTAGATTTAGGCAATTATTTAAATCATCAATACTGCCCACTATTCCTGGCATTCAGTAGCAACAAGTTAAATTCTTAAAAGATCCAATTAATTGATCTCTGACATGGTAGCTTTTTGAAAGGTTTTACCTGAGTTGATGGATTCATTAATTTTAGAGCATCTTATTTGCTTTCTGCTAATGGAATTTTCAGCAGATGATTGGTTACCTATTCTAAGCCTCATGCAGAGTGTAAATGTCATTTTATACAAAGATATTTACTGCACAGAATATTGGTCTAATTAATTTTTGAGAGCAAGTAAGAATTACTCTAATTTATTCTTGTCTGCAATTGTACTAGTGGCCTTGAAAATATCACTGGGATTTCTTAGTAAGATGTATGTACCTGCATGTGTGAATTTAGGTGCACATGTATGTGAACATAGGTTTTGAGTGGTGAGTTTGCTTTACGAACCATAATATGTGTTTTAAGATTTTTTTAGGTGGAATCTCGTCCCACAATTGTCCAGCTGTAGGTTACACAATAGCTTGATTTCAGTATTTTCTGGAAAAATCCCTTCTGAAGCGGGAAGGCATGCCTGTCAACACGCATAAAAAGCACAGAAAAAATCGTTAAAAGGACAGCCTTCCAAATTCAGAAACGTAAGTACGAGGGGTGGGTACAAACAGAAGTGCGATAGACGCAGCTTTCTTCATCCAGACGGAGGACAAATGTTGAGGTCTGGGGGCTACAGTGGTTTTAGGCCTCAGCAATTTGTATATTTGGGGGAATCAAAGACAATACAAGGAAATATCAGCAGTCTTAGGGAAAGGTGCTGTCAGTCATAAAGAGCAGACTTTCAAAACTTGATTATCAGCCCCTGATAAACACACGTGCAAATCACGGAACAAAGGCTGAAACAGGCGAGCTGGGTAGGTTGACAGTATGAGCAGGAGTCATTTATCTCTAGAGCAACCTGAAGAATCTATTCCAAGTTCAGCAGTTTCTGTGCTGAAGCTTGAAGAGTAAACAGATTCCTTAAGATAGCGGGTAACACTGACCTACTGAAACACTGGCCACCTTCGGTTTGGTTGTGCATTCGACGTGGATAGAACCAGTCACATGATGTGACTTTGTACCTTGTGTACTGTGAACACACCATGTTTTTGTCACCTTCAAACACTTGACACAGGTTCCTCCTTCCTAACGAAACACTCATTTCCTCCTTCCTTTATACATTCCATAGTTTATTCCTAGTTAACATTTAGGTTTCAGCTTAAACATTACTTCTTTGGAGTACCTTTCCTGAGGTACTGTCTAGAAAAATATTCTGCTCTGTGTTTCCACTGTATATGACTCTGCACTTCATTGCAATTACTTACTCAATACCTATTTTACACTCTAGGCTATAGGCTCAGTAAGAAAAGAGACTACGGTTTTCTTCCTTATTGCTGTATCTCAGTCCTTAACATTGAATCTGGCCTGAGTCTGAGCCAACTGAGACTCTTAAGGATAAGTAAAGGGGTGTTTCCCAAGGCCATGTAACTGTAATTGCTGGAGCTGAGGCTGAAACCTGGGTTTCCTGACTTCTAACCCAGTGGAGTTTCAGTCTAGATAGCAGGAAAGAATTCTGCAGTGCAAGACTGGTGTTCTACATCCTCAACACCCTTTGGCTTGTTTGGATAGCGATAACTTTGGACTTAACCTCTCTGGTGTCAACTATCCACTCCTGAGAAATGGTGCACTCATGACCCTTCTTCATTCAGAGGCATACTTTGGAAATCTCGTGAGACCAATGGTGTAAAACTGTTTTGAGGAAACTTACCTGTAACCGTGGACAAGCACACAGGTGACAGGGACATTAATCTTTCCATAGTGCTTCCCATCTCAAGCTTTGACCTCATTTCATGAGGTCATTTGGACTAGGATTTTATACATATAAAATATGTATATATATATTTTATATAGAATTTTATGTGTATAAAATCAAATCCCCTGTATCAAACTGATGTCCAAATAACTCACAGACAGCAAGAGAACTCAAATTGGCTTCTAATTCCTTTAAAAATTTTTTTTTCTATAAAAATATAGTGGAGCTGTGGTGGTGAACATTTATGTTTTGATTCTAAGTGAAGGAGGTGAACAGCTCTACTTGCTTTATTTCACTAAAGGGAGAGACCAGAGTAGGAACTTGAATCTTTAGATGCTTGCTCTCCAGCTTCCTATGGTTTAAGAATTGACCTTGTACCCCATCAGCTGCTCATAAATGCAGGTATTCAACTTGAAGGGAGTGAGCATGAATCAAGAAAACCTTCCCCTTTGTAGAGGGTATGGCTCACAGTTCAGCACTATTAATGGAGACTAAAGGGTGGTCAGGGACATTGCTTCCAAATGGAGAACGCAACAGGAAAGTGACAGGGGTTTGAATTACAGTACTTAGCAGAATATGCTTACCTCGGTATTCTTGGCTTAAGCTCAAGGCGAAGGCAAAGATCCTCAACTCAGGGACCGTAATCAGTATTCACTCCTCTCCCCTTCATAAGCAGTGTCTCAGTGATACTCTAAAATGCAGTTTAATCATCTCAGATGGTTTGTGCTAATTTAAGTAGTCTTGTCTCTCTGGTTATATACTTTGTGTATACTTTAAATAAAGTGTTAAGGTCCTTTCTTTCACCTCATAAAATCAGGCACACACAAGAAAAGCATCACAGGGCAGTGATTTAACAGCACAGTCCCTGAACTTACCCCAACAGCAAGTGAGGGCCACGGATGTGGTGCTGTTTTTCCCTGGAAGCAGCCTGATCCATGCCAGGTTCTACTTACAGGAGCATTTAAAGGTGAGTAAAGAACTGAGTTTTCAGGTCAGAAATGGCTTTAAATATGAGCTTTGACAGGTCCTGATTATGTGATGTAAGTCGAGTAACGCAACCTCTCGGCATCTGCTTCATCCGTGACAAAATGGAGACGCTGTCTCAAGATTCTTCTGAGAATCAGGGAAAACATTGACTTTCCCTGCACAGCACGGGGCTAATGGGTCTGGCACAGCCCTGTAGGTGTCATCATCCCAAAGTTTACATTCCAGTTCACTCTCCAACTGTGTGTCTGAATACTGCTCCTGTCATCTCAACCTTAGTTTTAATTCTTTTCCTTTATAAAACAGTGATGATAACATTTACTATTCAGGCTTCTTTTTAGGATAAGCAAACATTTGCTGCTGCCCAACTGCTTCTGAATCATGTTCTGTCTCCTAGCTTCCTACACCCACTCTTCCTTCCCACACTCTTTTGACCACAGGTGTAAGGTACCTAGGCTGCCTCACTGGGGCCCCGCTCTTAACTGTTTGTTAAGATGTTATAAGACTAGCAAATTAAGAAGATCTTTATGGAGATGCCACTCTTGAAGCACAAACAGAGCGGAGGGTGGAAAGATGGGCCCTCGGTCTGTGTTATATCCTGTGAGAGGATTTCCATGGCAGTGACAAGGCCCCTTCAGTTTTGGGATCCCTTATACCTGAGCCCCACTGTTCCAGTGCATTTTTACTGAACGGGCATTTTCTGTTTTGGGTGAGACGACCACCTGTGTCTCTCTTGAAGGGCAGACATGGAGCTGAGCACTGGGGCCAGGGCAGGTTTTGGGTGATGCTAATGACCCCGCTTTCAGAGTCCATTCTCTTCATCTACGGCTTCCGCTTCATGACAGAGTTAGACTTGTTTGCCTGTCCCTCTCTTTGTAAGTTCTCTCCCAAAAGACTCCTCGGTATCCTGCAAATAAATAAGATTCTGATTGTCTGAAGTACTTCTAGATAGTCACTGAGACATATCTGAACCCAAGATCTGGGCACAGCTCAGTCTGATACTTTTAGGGCTAAAGCTAAAACCAAGAATCCAGAATAAGGTTTATGGGCTTACCTTAGTGCAGGAGCAATATGAATGGGAGCTAAATGTGACCGAGCTGCTAAGATGGTAGACCAGTTAGCAGTGTGTGTATTAAAGATACTATAGGAACAAAAGAGAATGTGTGCCCAAACTACTATCACTATACTATTAGGGATTGCTGATACTGGCACCTGGCTTCACCACTTTATTATTTTTCCATTGGTTTCTTAGTACATGGATGAAAGAGGAGACAGCTTCAGAAGGATGTTAGTAACAAATTTGCAAGAAGAGAAACTGAGTCTCGGAGATGATACATAGTGGTCCAAGTGCACAGAGCTGGCGAGATATGTACAATCCAGGCAGAGTCTACCTATCAGTACTATGTGCACCTGGAGAACAACTTTGATTGTGGGAAGTGAAGATGATTTTAATTTTGGATATGCTGTTTGAGGTTGTTGATAGGAATTCTAAGGGAAAATGTGAGACTGAGATTAGGAACAAGGTCGGGTTTAGAGTTTTGTTGTTGAGATGATCCCCAAATGCACCTGTGTGGGGGTGAAGGACAGAACTAAGTGAGAGGAATGAGAAGCCTGAGCCTGAGTCTCTGAGACAGCGTGGAAGGCAGCAGTCCAGGCAGAAGCAGTGCTCATTCCCCTCTTTTCCCCTGTTCATACTGCACTGTTCATGTCTCTCTGACTACACCAAAACACTTCAAGGGCAGCAAGTGTGTCTTTTGAATCTTCCACAGTATTGAGTGCAGGGCTGGATACAGAGAACTTCAAAGTGAGGGCATACCAGACAACCAGATAACTCTTTGGTCCCCAAAAATTCTCTAGACTCAGCTGTCTGTGACAAACCAAATAAGGTAAACAATTATAAAGGTTGTATGATTTATTGCTCCTGTCATGCTGCAAATAAAACCTTCAGTTATTGAAAAAGAAAAAATAAGAAAAAGGGATGTTAGCTTATAGCAAAAATGTGAAACTACAATGATAACTTGAAGGGAGACTGTTGCACTTTTTAACAAGAGAAGCGGGAAACAGTTGGTCACTCACCTGCTGTCTGTGTGTGTTCAGCTTCAGGCTGCGGTCACTTGGGATATTGATTGACTTTTGAAATTACATTCAACACCTAATGTTTCCCAGCCCAGCTCTCTCTGTTGAGTTCTATTATCAGGACTGACTGCCTATCTGCCCAAGCTGCTGCATTTACCTTCAGCCTTTGAGACTCAGTTATTCCAGAGCCAGGAAGACACACGTCATGAGGTGGTTGCCTCAACAGCGATGGCTGAAGGCAGAGAGAGTGAGGACTGGATGGGACCACCAACCGGAAGAAAGGTCTAAACACTTTCTTTCCTGTGTGGAATTCCTTAGCCATAGAATTCTTGACTTTTATGGTCTGAAATTACCTTAAATTTTATACAAAGCAACTCAATCTAAAGTCTAAGAACCTTCAGTGATGGTGAGCTCACTCTCCTTGACCATGTATTTAGATCACAGTCCCACCCTTTCTGTAGCCCTGGACTCTGGTCTCATCCTTTACAATGTGACTGGACACCATGGGTGCTGGCAAAGATGCAGGACATGTGAGGAAAATCTTAGAGTGGGATGGCAACGACTAACCCTATCTCCTCACTGTTCATTCAGGAGGGATGCAGCAGTTGTTAGGGGAAAGAAAGGAAAGCAGGTCTTTGTTCAGTGTTGGTAAGAGCAAAATACAAGGTGTGAGTGATCAATTTCTGTCAAGCTTGGGAAGGGGTGAAGAGGGTTTGAAGTAAAATAACCATCTCATCAGCTCACAGCTACTTATTTTTCCTAAAAGGGGGACTTTTTTAATGGGGCAATGGGGGTGTTGCTGCAACAGAGCTTTCTTTACCCATGCTTTCTGTCTCATTGTCCCACAAAACTATTTCCCAGGCATGAAGAACCCCTCTGAGCCTCCAGAGCAGTGAGGTTTTCTTACTCCTCCATCTGTTTTTGCTGTTCCAACTTAAAAGATAAAAAATTGCTTTAAGAGGAATACAAAGTTTCAGGAAAAAGTGCTTTGTGTGGAGGTTTGCCTGTGTGAGACCTAAATCCAGTGTTTTATCCACGAATGATGATGTCCACAGAGGCTAGGATTTGTCATTAGCAGGCTCAGGATCTATCTTTGCTGCCAGCTGTGTGATCAAGAGCACATTGCTAATCTCAAATTTCATTTGTTTAAAATGGAGCAATCAATCATCAATCCCTTACAGATGAAATGTGACTATAAATGTGCTTTAATGAGGTACATATCTCTTTGTCAGCACTGTCCAATAGAAATAAAATGCAAACCACAAGTACATGTGTCTTTAAATTTTCTAGTAACTAGGTAAAAAAGTTTAAAAAGTTGAAATTAATTTTGTAATATATTTTATTTAACTGAAAATATCTAAAGTATCATTTACAGATAATCAATATAAAATTATTGAGTTTACAGCTTTTTACAATAATCTGTAGACATCCAGTTTGTATTCTACGCTTACAGCACACCTCGGTTAGACTCAACAGGCACGTGTGACTAGTGGCGGCAGTATGAAACAGCATGGCTCTGTAGAATTATTAATTGTGTGTCTGTTTTTTTAAGATAGCAGGGCTTTTCAAAGGGATGAAATGTTGCCACTACTATGCAGATGTTTTAAAAAATGAAAAAAGAAATTTACACCCTCTCCAGTTGATAAATTTTGCTATGGGAGAATAATTTAGGAGTTCATTTGAGAGGGACAGTGTATTAAAACATTAGCAGCTCTTAATTTGTTAGGGTATAAGCATCTCAGACCTCTTCCTTCAGTTGGGTTTTGAGGGACAGAAGGTGAGGGAAGGAGCAAATAACCTTAAAATATTGGAAGAGAAGAAAGCCCAGTGGTGGAATAAAAAGGCAAAAAAGACAGACTGGGAGACCCAGGGAAAGCTTGCTATTATTCCAGCGTTCACAGGTCTATGTGTTGTACAAAGACCTAGAGGGGACACTCCCCTGAAGAACCAGGGACCTTTGGCTGAACACACACTTATTCTCCAGGGAACATGGAGAAGAGAGTGAACAGCTTAGCACATTAACACAGCCTGACTCCTGAAGATATCTGCCTATCCTGGATTAAAGACCCTGCCTTACCTAACCCGACCTCCTTGGGCAGAGCCCTGGAGCCCTCATCTGCCCCAGGGCCTTGATTCTAACCACTTAATTTCTGCGTCCTCTAGGTGCACATTTATAGCTGCTCTTTCATGTGAGGGCCCCACTTCCGCAGGTGTAGCTTAAAAGTATTTGCCCAGAACATGGTTTGGCGAGAAGTTGTAAATTCAAAATATTATCAGGGCCAGCCAGCAAAATCAAATTATTGTCATGGCCATTGAAGCAGCCAACCCACCAACATGCAAACAATAGTAGATAGTTGTTAGTAGTAATTAAAAAGTAGTTATGCTCTTTAGTGTAGTCTTGAACTCAGCAACCTGAAGTTCAACAGTATTGTTGGAGTGATTGGTACAAAACGAGAACTTTAGTTTCTAAATGGGTCTCCTGGTTTTGCTATTTTCCTGATTTTTCCTTAGTTGTTTCTTTTGTGCACCTGAAATGTTGTGGGCTGCACCAGGTTAAGACATGTTTGACCCTAGAGCTGCTTTGTAATAATGCAGTAAGACTCCATGTGGGCTGGTGTGTTCCCCAACATTTTGCTTCTGCCTTCCCTCTCCCCTGATGGGGAGAGAAAGGTATATTGGGGGTGGGAACAGGGGCAGGATGAGAGCAATGATTCTCAACTTGATATGATCCCCCATCCCCCTCTATAGACGTTTGGCAATGCCTGGAGACATTTGGTTGTCACAACTCAAGGAGAGGTACTACAGATACCTTCTGGAGGAGGTGACTTTGAGAGAACCCTAATGGGTGAGAAGGAGGTAGCCATCAAGAGCAGTGTC